ATGATGTAATGAGCCAGACTAGATATCTAGTCGACACAGGCGCCGAAGTCAGCGTCCTTCCTGCTACAGCAGCAGATCGACAGAAGGATCCTAACTTCAACCTACAGGCTGCAAATGGAAAACCAATTGCAACCTATGGTCGGAAATACGTCTATCTGAACGTAGGTTTACGCAAACCTATTCAGTGGATTTTCCTAATCGCTGACGTCACAATGCCCATCATTGGCACGGACCTACTTAATCATCATGATTTACTCGTAGACGTCCGCCGTAAACGACTAATTGACAACACTACTAGTTTGTCTATCAAAGGCATAACTTACGTAGGCCCAAGCTTGTCAATCGTTAAGATGAAAGCAATCCCCGATCCAACTTTTCAACCGATTGTTGACAAATATCCGGAACTGAATTGCCCATCTAACGATCTCCCGTGTATAACCAGCAATGTTATGCACCACATCATAACCTCAGGACAGCCCGTGACATCTAAAGCACGACGACTGGCCCCTGACAAACTGAGAATTGCCAGAAACGAATTCGATCATATGCTCACCCTTGGCATCATTCGGCCATCGAATAGTCCATGGGCATCCCCGTTGCATATGGTACCGAAAAAGGATAGCAACGATTGGCGACCCACTGGTGATTACCGGCGAGTGAACGCCAAAACAACTCCTGATTGCTACCCTTTGCCTCACATACACGACTTGACGGCAACGTTATCTGGAGCATCTATATTCTCCAAAATCGACTTGGTTAAAGCATATAACCAAATCCCGATGGCAACGGAAGATATTCCGAAAACGGCTATCATCACGCCTTTCGGACTTTTCGAATTTCTACGTATGCCATTCGGCCTACGGAATGTGGCCCAAACATTCCAACGCTTCATCAACGAAGTATTTCGCGGTCTCGACTTTGTATACGCATACTTAGACGACTGCCTCATTGCCAGTCCAGATAAGGAAACTCACCTTAGACACTTGGACTTGGCATTTGAAAGGTTACGCCAACATGGTGTTACCATCAATATACAGAAGTGTCAAATAGGCGTTGACTCACTCGATTTTCTGGGTCACACTATTGACTGTCAGGGCATTCGCCCACTGGCTACTTCGGTCGATCACTCTAAGAAAAAGCGTTCTGGACGTCACGTTAGATTCCCAGAATACCTTCACACCTATTTCACATAACTGAGTGACACATCAATTTTTTTTATGTTGCGTCATTAAACACAAGTAAATGATATTTTTCCTATAACCGTACATAAAATTATATAAGATGTATATTTTTTTCCCGATATTTTGAACTTTACATTATTTTACTGTATAGTAGATGCATGTCATATTTTTTGGTAAAAAAACGCTTATTTGGTACATTTTTCTTGACAAGGTTCTCAGCATTCTTGTTTTCTTTTCCAGGTGCAACGGGCACTGGACAGGAAACAAACGAAGCACGGGATCCAACGAACAACACTGAGGAAGCTATGTACAGACACCCTATTAGCATAGGCAGACAGACCAGCAGGCTCTCGATCAAGCCGCTCGGAAGATTTTTTTCACCCATCAGGGAACCATCGAGATTTTTTTACTTCCGGCTGGTCATGTCTTAGGGTCCTCACAAACCCACTAGGGGGGGAGTGAGCTGTAGCGGTAAATAATTCCCCAAAATTATTAACCACAGCAATCATCACTCAACATTGGATGCTGACCACCACTGTTTAAGTCGACTTGTTTAGCTGAAGGCTTACGGTCAAGCATCCCCGCCATTTGGTGCTCCGTCGTGTCACGTGCGTGCACGATTACTAGCTAGCTAAGCATTCATTCCTACCCGCGATTTGGTCCCAAAATATATATCGTATTTGGACGACAAAATCTGGTCTTTTGCTTTACCATTTGGTACTCGAAGAACGAACACTATAGTGGTTGTTGGTATAAGATCTTGCGTTAGTATAATCCGTACAACTCGCGAACGTTCGATACCTACAGCCCACTAAAGGATGATTTCTGCCTGAAACTGTCTAATTTGCCGCAAAAAGTAAAACGTTCAGACCTAGTTGTTTCAGCAGACGACTTCAAAGCCCAATTGGGGAAGCTGAGCCAGACTGAGAAGTATGTAGGTGGTAAGGAGTTCCCTGCCGACGAACCGACAACGGTGATCGTCTTCTACAGTTCTGCTCAGATAACCATCTGTTCCTAGTCATCACTAACTTTAGGCACAAAGAGAGATATTGTGTAACCTGTCGACCTCCATCACCAAATCAAAATAGGACTCAGATAGACTACATAGCGATAGGGTATCTTTGATGAGGCGCAGTAGATGACTGCCGATTCTTCTGGAACTCGTGCGTGGACTCTGATCACGCTCTAGTCCGTGCACGCTTATGCTTACGATTTAACGGACAAAAAATATTGTTGGCAGCGAAACAGTTACATCCCCAACTACATCGAGAATCTGAGTCCCCATTTAAGGAATAAATAGCGAAACGAGTACCTGAAGTCGACAGCAGGACTTCTCTTGAAGTAGCCTGGCACAACATACAGTTAGCTGTAGACACAGCTGTAAAAGCTGTTAATAACCTGAAACCTAAAGTTAGTAAGAGCCAGTAGATTTCTACCACCTCATCGGAACTGACTGATGCAAGAAGACTGATTCCGTCGAGCTCCGATTATGGTGAGGAGCGAAGGCTACTCAAATGCAAACTAACAAGAAGCCTTTGTAACAACCGTGAACAGTGGGGGCGACAGAAGCAAAGGAGATGGAAAAGGCATCGGCAATTGATAACACCAGACAAATATTTAGACTTACCAGAGAAACAGGTGGTAAAAGATAAATGAAAAGTGAAACAATCTCTAAGAAAAATGGCACCACAATTAGCTCCCAAGACAGACTACGGAAACGTTGGAAAGACCACTTTGGGAAGCAATTTCATTGGCTTACAGCCACATTTAACTTAATAAACATCCGATACCTCCCTGAGTGGGAAATAAGCAACAGTCCTCCGTCCTTAGCTGAGTTTACAAAAGCTGTCACTAGTCTGAAACGAGGCAAAGCAGCAGGATCTGATGGAATGACTCCAGAGGTTTTTAAGTACGGTGGAGACAGTTTACTGTCTGCATTAACTAAGGTATTTGGCGGCGTATGGGAATCAGAGGTAGTACCGTCAGGTTGGTGTGATTCATTGATTGTCCAAATATACAAGAAGGGAGACAAGTCTTCTTTTAATAATCACAGGGGAACTAACTTGATTAATATGATATCTAAAGTTCTAGGCTCAATAATCATGCGTAGACTAAGTGGTGCTCAGGAGGAACAAAGACGAGAGAACCAGATAGACTTTAGACCAGGAAGAGGGTGTATTGATCATATCATATCACATAGGCGTACTTACAGTTGGCGCCCAACAATCGTTATATTTCTTGAGCATTCGATTCCGTCAACCAAAAAGTACTATGATGGTATTTGGCTGTGAAGAGAATGCCAAGTAAATATATCACGCTGATCAAGGCATTCTAATAAACTCATGCAGTAGTCAGCCAGGTGAGAGCTTACGGCGAGTTGTCATCTGAACTGGTGACAGTCACGGATGGCCACCAATGTTCCCATTTCCATTCAATTTCATCATGGATGTGCTAATGGAATTAACCCTAACTGACTTCAGTGACTTGTTACCAGGGAATAATCTCGTTGACTTAGAATATGCAGACGATATAGTCGTTCTAGGCGAGGACGCTGACAAAATGCAAAGTCTTCTGAACACCTTGAGCTGCAATCTACGTATGTTTGGCATGCGATTCGCTCCCACCTAATGTAAGATGATGCTACAGGACTGGGCTACATTGACTTCTAGCTTAGAAATAAGGAGTGAAGTGGTAGAGCGCGTTGACCGCTTCACTTATTTGGGAAGTAGCATCAGCCAGTGCCAACGGGTTGATCTCTGACGAAATCTCAGCACGTATACAGAGGGCTAGGTTCGCATATGCCAGTTTACGCCGTCTCTGGCGTAGACGTGATATCCGACTATTGACCAAAGGGCGTGTGTATTGCTCATCAGTCCGCTCCGTCCTCCTTTATGGCTGTGAGACCTGGCCATTGAGAGTGGAAGACATGTAAAGGCTAGCTGTCTTCGATCATATTTGTCTGAGTTCTATCTCCCGTGTGAAGTGGTATAATAGGGTGAGCAATATTGAGGTTAGGCGTCGAGTGGTAGGTAAGGAGGGGAAATCAATAGCCGAGGTTGTGAAGTTACATCGACTGAGATGGTTAGGACATGTGTAACGTATGCCTAGCCATTTATCGCCTTCCTCGACGGCAAAAGTTAGCTGATATAGGGTCAGGTTGAAAAAGATCTAGTGGTGGTCAAACCAAAACATGGCTTCATCAGTCAATGAAACCCACAACAGTTAGTTTAAGCCAGTCACGTAGGAGGGTGTAGACTTCCTGGTTGGGGTCCTCGAGATAGGAAAACCAACAGCTAGAGACAATTGGTGATACGGCTCAAAATCGTTTTCAATGACTGGCGAAGATGCATCCACTCCCAGTGACTTGTAATATCCAATAAAACTATATTGTTTTTCGATATTACTATTCTTTTTGCCCCATATTTCTGTTTATTATCCCTCTTTTTTGAATTTCTGTTTACTCTCTTCTCTTGCTTTGTCTGCCAAATGGAGTGTGGCGACTCGATCTGCTGCACATCTGTGCAAAGTTCAATGTTGAAACCAGTCAGTCAATGGGTATCGAACCATGTCAGACGCCGTTACAAATAAAACCTATTTGCCAGTGTCTGTGCAGTTGAATCCTATATGTGAACATCGAGAATGTCGACTCAGTATGCACATAAAAGCAGATCAAGTCATCATTTCTAACAAAGTGATTACACATCTGGCGTCCAAGATTACTATGCCATCAGTTTGTATTCACGAGTTTCGCAACCTCTATAACTCAGAATTTGAATGTAAATTTCAATGATACAGTAGACTTTGTAAAGCAAAAGGAAGCAAACGTGTCATGTTCTTTTATTAGCAGTAACAAATAAATGATTAATGCAGTTTATATATCACATTATTATTACAGATTTGTTGAAGAGGAAACAGAAGAAGAAAAAAAAAGATAAATATTGTTCTTGTGATGTATGTTCACAAAGAAACAATAACAACAATAGCAGTATGATTAAGGATTAACCACTCCAGAAATGATTGGGTTACTATTAAACAATAGACAATATCATAGTTTAAGGATACAAATATTATGACCAAATTCGGCGAAATTGTACAATGAAGTTAAATAGAAAAATATATATAAAGAACATGAAAATGATAAGAAAAGAGACTACTTAGAACTGGAGTACAGTAATAAAGCTTAAGAGGAAAACTTTAACCAATGCAGAGGTACATATTCAATTTGATTGTACGTGCAAAGTAAAACAAGGAAACAAATAAATTGCACCAAAGCACACTCTCACACACACAAGCATAATTCAAGATTAGTGTAGAAAATAAAGGTTTACTCAGGAATGTAGGATTATTTATCCACTAGAAAGATATAAAGATAACTTGGAATGACAGTTATTTTATGGTTAACCTATTAAAATTGAAGAAGTTAAGTAATATCTTCTTCTTCACTGATTGTTTTCTTTAGTTTAAGCAATAATGATGTAATCCATGGTTCAAGTCGAGTTATATTATCATATTCTTGAACAGCCACTGTGTACGCTTCTACATTCTCTTGTTCTAAAGCTTCTGATAATTTCTAGCAAAACAGAGATAATGAAAATAACAGAGAGATGTAATTAGGTTAATAGTCTAGATAAACTGTATTCTCTATGTATTGTTGTTTGTAAGCACATGTTTTTTTTTTTAAACTTGCATAAAATGTTCTTAGAAACAACACCGTTTTAAGTAAACAGGAAAGTAGGGTACTATATACACCTGATTGTCAGACAGATCATATTTCGTTTAACAAGCGAGTATTGATTACTCGAAAAGATATCGTTCACTCTTAAACGAAAGAAGATCTTCAACAATTAGACACATGCATAAGAATAAGTAGTTTTTAGTGAGAAACTAAATGAACTATAGCATTATTTGGCATTCTATATATGCTACTGCTTTCATTGAAGCTGATTATATATTATGTTATGCTTAGAGCATTATTATTTTGGCAGTCGTAAAACGTGTCAATAGAAAACTAAAAACAATACCGCTTGTTTATTTGTGCATAAAGAATGACACCATGTTATTAATCGGAAAATCTTTCAACATACAAGTTGGTAGTAGATTTAACTACAAATCAGCGGGTTACAGGAATATCAAAAGCTATGGTTACAAGGTTTATAAACATCGTGTCTTTTCGATGGTAGTTTATTATTTAGCTATCGTAAGGGATGTTATTGGCCTATATTCTCCTGTTTCTGCTGATTCATGGTGATGTGTGATCGTCATCTTGTGTTGTGAATAAGTGTCCAGGCTAATCATACAGTTAATAATTAGCCGGTTAAGACAGACTCTATTAACTGTAGCGACATTTTATGATAGACAAACGATCAATTTTACAGGCATAGCAATCAATCTTTCGAATACAAAACGATATGTAATATAAACAACAAAGTAGGGGGATCCAAATATGAAGTACACCCTATTTACCATTTGTAGAACCGTTTGAAATAGTATTGTAGACAACTAATTTGTGTTATACTGAGAAGAAAGCAACTAGATGGGTGAAAATGGTGAATTCGTTATGTACAAAGTAAGGTTGGTTAAATAGTATGCATTATTTAAAAAAAGACTTCCACCTACTCCTAATAATTTACCAATTATAGGTGGCTAAAAATTAGTCCGATATTCGCAGAAATCCTTAAGATGAATTGATAATAAAATTTGAACACTTAAATAATTATTTTATAAAATTTTTTAACGGGTTAGGCGATAACTGAACTTGTTGGATGTCAGTGCTGTTTTGTTTCGTGGCTATGATGGTGTTATGACACTTCAGGTAAATTAAAGCAATTACTAATATAAATACAGATTCAATCACCGTAAAGCCTAATAGCAACTATACTAATGTAAAAAGGAATAGTTAAGTCAGAAATAAATATACTAGACAGAAGCGAAGTGAGTTTTGGCAATGGAAAACGTTTTTACACTACTGTATGATTAATATGAATAGTTGGATAGTACTCACACTAACCAGTAGTGTTCTAGCCACACTGAAGTGATCTAACACCGGACAGTCGTTCCACTCGTTTGGGGCCGAGCTCATAAGTGGTGTACCCTGTTTCACTCATCTTAGAGAACCAAATCAGTTGAAATCACTCGAATTCTGGCTAGCTACTTGTGTGAGCTGGTAATACATCAAGTACTACTGGCTGGTGTGACTATTATCCAACTACTCATATCAATCAATCAGTAGTATGTAGCGTCACGGTTCTATCCATCTATTTTTATTCCTTGTCAGTGATCTATCTGCAGTTGTAATCACGGGAACTGGTCAATTACTCATCTGCAATTATAAATGTCTAGTATTAATAATGTAACAACGCCACTTTCGTTAAACATAGGGTTATATGTAATAGTCACTAGCAGAGAAGTATCAAAGCTATTGTCGTTTAATTGTGCATAAATTTTTTATGTCTGTCACTACACCAAACTGAGTCGAAAGTTGCATATATGCTTGATAACAATCCAAAGTTCAAATCTTTTCAATTTACTTAAATGGTTTGTGCATCAAAAGTTTGGGCAAATGTTTTGTTTATTAAGGTCTCTAGTATTGAATTTCATTATGAGTTATAAAGTCCAAAAAATTCAAAGAGCACCTCTTCTAATCCATTATTTTAACAATGGGGAAGTATTAGCACTAGAAGTACCGACTATCTTTTGAAAATACAACTGTAAGTTCAAGTTAAAATTCGTAGTTTTTTCCTTATGAGGTGATTAAATTAACAAGGAATTCAATGACTATCTGCTGAGAAAATTTCGCAGTTTTATACACACATACATATTAGCGGTAAGGCTTATCTACAATTTTGCGAAAACTTGTCTTCCACCTAAGATTCAGACGTGTTATGTTATCAAGCAGATCACGTATTATAATCTGAATTATTTCAATTTCCAAAGGAAAATGCGGTCAAATTACACCTCAAAGTGTGTGAGCTGCAAATTGCGAGCGAAGTAGATTTAATAAGCAAAATTGCAGAAGTATATGAGTACAATAACTATAAACATAATATTACTTGGTAGGTACTGGCTGATAGTGGAATTCAAGGTGTGCATTTCGTCTTATCTAGGACTCATCAACTGGATGCATCTGCATCTTCCAACCAATTGATAACATGTTAATCTTAATGTGTTTTTGAAATGTTTTTCAACAGAGACGCAGCATTCTGGTCCAATAAAAATAGTCAGTGAGAAATTCAAAATAACTTAAAAACAAATAATAATTATTAACAATTGAATTCGTCAATTTTAGGTTTTGGAGAAATTTATAAATGTATTTTGGAGGGCAATGACTAGTCTCTCACTGATTGCAAAGTAGAAGGTGATCGTCCAGTCAACAACATAAAGCATAAAAACCCCTAGTCGATGAACCTGATTAAAAATGAGATTACTGCCCTAGTAATCAGTCAATAAGTTAACTCAACTATTATGATATACTATTGATTTGTTATTTACTTTTAACAGTAGGAAATGGAATATTTTGAGCTTCAAACCTAGTCACGTCTATTATAATAATCACTATGTCAATAACTTATCTATAAACGAATGAAATCTAGACCGTCTTCAACAATATCTGCACTCGAAAAGTCAACTGTCACATTGATATTTTATAAAAAAGAAATGGAATCACTCAGAGTAAACAGTGCAGCTTACTTCTCTGTTAATCACAGAATACAGAAAAGGTTAATATTTTAAACATCTAAGAATTTCCAAGTGTTTGATTTACAGGAATCTGATTGATTTCGACACTGATCAAGAACTGACTTCACAGTTAGAGTATACTACTGAAAACTTTGTTTGAGATCCTTCATCAGTACGCACATAGAAGCTTCAGGTTGCAAACCGTGCTCGTTTACCATTTAACCACTGTGATGGGAAGCAATGGCTATTCAATTCTAACTTCTACCCAATTTCATGCAATTCTTCCCATTAATAAACTTGAACAAAGCAAGAACAACAATTGTACCAGGATAATATGAGCTCATCTTTTATTATTTCGAGGATTCTTCTCAACTGGTTACAACCTGAACGATAAAAAAAATATGAATTACATTAAAGATTTGAACATACTTTTCCACGATCACAAGGAGTAATTGGTAGGAAGTAAAAGTAACATTAGTCCGGAATTATTTAACTAATTAAGAGTTACAAACACTGACTATTTATAGAATAATTAGACAATTAGGCTTGGAAACAAAAAACAGAGTTGCGTATATATATTGTGTGTATAGAAACAAGGTTTAGCCAGAAAGAGCATAACAAAAAAGTAGATTACGTAACTAAAGAAAATGTTTTATCTAATAGCCAATAGAAAAAAGAAGAAAGAACAAGGTAGGGTGAGTCATGTTTAGATGAGAGAGTAGAGTTTTCTAAACAAGAAAAAGGGTGACTCATAAAAGTTGTATATTTTATCACCAGGGCAGTGCAAGATTCACCACTGTCTCTTTCTGCGTACTTAGATTTGGTTTAAGTCGTTTGATAGCAATTGCTTCAGCAAAGCATAGCAAGCTAGGTTTCCTTTGCTTGTTGATTATTTTGAACGACTTCAGGTTGTCTACAATATGACCAGTGTCCAATAGATGACGCGCAATCGCACTGTTTAATGGTGAATCTTGCACTGCCCTGGTGATAAAAATATACAACTTTTATGAGTCACCCTTTTTCTTGTTTAGAAAACTCTACTCTCTCATCTAAACATGACTCACTCTACCTTGTTCTTTTTTTTTCTATTGGCTATTAGATAAAATATTTTCTTTAGTTACGTAATCTACTTTTTTGTTATGCTCTTTCTGGCTAAACCTTGTTTCTATACACACATATATATATACGCAACTCTGTTTTTTGTTTCCAAGCCTAATTGTCTAATTATTCTATAAATAGTCAGTGTTTGTAACTCTTAATTAGTTAAATAATTCCAGACTAATGTTACTTTTACTTCCTACCAATTACTCCTTGTGATCGTGGAAAAGTATGTTCAAATCTTCAATGTAATTCATATTTTTTTATCGTTCAGGTTGTAACCAGTTGAGAAGAATCCTCGAAATAATAAAAGATGAGCTCATATTATCCTGGTACAATTGTTGTTCTTGCTTTGTTCAAGTTCTACCCAATTCGCAGAGGCATTAGCTGACGGGTGAGCTACATATCGTGAATTCACAGAAGTTAGATTTGATGGGCTCTAGCATTCTGTCCCAGTGGCTGAATGGTATACGAGCTCGGTTTGCAATCTGAAGGTCCTGAGTGCGTGATGCTGAAGGGTCCCACACAAGGGCGAAAAAGCTGTCCAGTAGTCCCTAGTTTTCAATAGTCCTCTAACTGAAGTCAGTTCGCGATCCATCTTGAAATCTGAGAATTTATTAGATGAGGAGTATAACCAATTCTTTGCAGAACACTAAAATGACGGCAAACACTTAAGCATGCGTATGTGCAATAAGTTTAATTTGTAGCTTGAGACTGTTGTTTTTTGTCAACTGTTTTAGTTGAAGAATTCTGTGGTTCGTTGTCCTTAAGGGAGAACTTTCAGTGACACTCTAGGTATCTGCATCATCTTTACAATGAATGTGATAACGAGGATGTAACTGAAAGGTCTGTCTCAAGAGAAACTAACTGAAAAAAGCATTCAAGTTAGAACATCCGCATTGTGAGCTACAACCATTTTCCACCATTTCAGAATGAATTCTAATAAAGCAATGGTTTAGAAAGATTTGAGAGAGCCAAGAAATGCTATAAACATGAGTATCAACGAAAGAAATTAATAACAGCCAAAAAAGAGCCTTCATGAATCACTTACTTTCATTAAACCGCATTCTCTAGAATCAGCAAACATGGGGTAACATTCTTCATAGGTTTTAAGCGCTTTTTGACCATTGATCAAATCCACACAAAAATGACAAATTACAGCATGGAAAAGATGTCCTTTGGCACCATATTTCAATAAATTGTTCTCCATTGATGCTTTGCCAGCCTATTTTATTATAAGACGAAAAAAAGTAAGTGATTGAATAAGTGTTCATAACATCACTAAAGAAAATGTAAATCGTAGGAGAAACTGTGTCGGGTGCTTTAGCTTTATGTATATAAAATATGTAGTATTATACAATAGTACACATATAGGCAATAAAGAAATTGCATTAGTTTACTGTAATACTTTTTAGAACTCATATTACCATTAAGTAGCCATTAATCAGTTAATGTCGCTTTAGTTTGCGGATGCGCGTCAGCCAACTCACCTGTACTTCTCTACATGACAGTAAATCTGAGAATTCATGAGTTGGTAGCTCATCCTAACCTGATAGCATTGATACTCCTCGTATCATACTTTTATTCTAGGTGATATTGACGGTTTAATATAATTTGTCTTAAGGAGCAGGCCAAAAGTTACACTGTATCAGCGTAGAAACGTCTTGTTTACGGATAACTTAATTCCTAAAAAATTAAGTTTTGCACTACAGACGATAATGTAGAGACCTACCATAAGGCTGTTTGCAACATTAAAGAAAGCGATGTTCTGCCAAACGAGGAATCAGGTCTTTTAAAACTGACTCTAAGAACGTCAGTCAGTGGGACAGAAGTATGTGAATGATACTTTAGTATACGATATATTACCCCCCCCCAACCCCATAGGAGGTAAAAGTGGTTGTCTCTGTGTACAAGAATTAATGTAAAATTTTGAAGCAATACATGATGCACTTATACTTTAGGCGTTAAAAATTACTGGGTAGAAAAAAGGTTGCTGTGATAAAATTACTTGAATATACTAATGCATTGATCAAAAGAAAAATAAAGACAATTGTTGGATACCTATTCATTTTCACCCATTGCTATTAAATTTGTAAGTCACGATATGCCTAAATAATGCTTTTGCAAGCAGCTGAATTCACGCAAGAGGTTGTTATAGTTACATTTATGCGTGGAAATACAATAAATATAATACCAGATCTACCAAAATCAACGTAGCTAAATCAGGAAAAAGCTTTATAAAACAGTTGGAAAGAAAATTAGATTTCTAGGTCAGGATAATATCCCGCTGACATCAACTGGCAATCGCATATGCTATAACAAATACTTTGAAGATCCAGTCAATTCACAGACACAATTTCCACCAAAATTGATTTTTCTGATATTTTGACGCAGCAGATCTAATTTATACTGCTGACCAAAGCAAAGGAAAGGACCTAATATATAGATAACGTTTGCGTAACAACCAACCTGCCGAAATGAAATATGAAAAAATCGTGTAAGTATGACGTTCAGCAGAACAGCGACCAACCACAATAGACATTTATAAGGCGTTTCAGAAAACGGTTACACAAACAACCTTGTCAGAAGAATGCCCATCCAAGACTTTAGCGAATTAACAACAGCATGCAAAAAATATGTGAATCATAATTCTACCTACAAAAAATATGTGTGTGAGGCTACACGACCACACAAGAAATTTATACCCAGTAAACTTTTACAAATTCCGTAAAACATTTTGTGCAAAATATCGGAAACCTAATGAAGTAGTGGAAATAATCAATAGTATCTTTAAAATCGACTGAGAGAACTGTAATAATCATTAAGTTAAACATGATGGTTACTCCTAAGAACTACATATCAATGAAAATGAAATTTCAGTAAAGCATAGTGACATGAATCAGTTCGTCATATTACACACTAGCCGACAATCAGAATCTCAGAAAACAACAATCAATTGGTAAACATACAGATTTGGAGACTACAAATTATATAACTATATTGTTCTTCTTGAGTATGAATTTCAGCATGTGATATCGGTAGCCCAAATTTTGCAGGCCGACCATAGATATCGGGTGTGAGTCGGCAGGGATCGAACCCCGGCCATGTACATGGTCGGCGAGAGTCCTAACCACTGTGCCACCGACGAATATATTACTATTCTTTTTGCTTTATATCTCTGTCTTGAATCTCTTTTTATTTTCTCTTGCTTTGTGTGCTAAGTGAAGTGTGACGACTCGAACTGCTGCATATCGGTGCATAGTTCTATGTTGAAACCAGTCAGTCATTCAGTCACAACTTAGTCCAGAACAAGTTAATAAAGCGACTTTCCTAAATGAATAGCTGATCGATTAAAGTACAATCAAAGAAAATAATTGTAAAACAAAGTACAATGACAGAAAACAATGAAACACATTGCAGAACTCTTAATGCATCAGGACTGACGGTTCATTGTTAATAAACTGGGTGATAGAAACCATCAGACATTGATTCGTCATAAAAAGCAAAAGTAAAATATCAACTAACTAACGAGTACTAACAAAGATACGTAGATTGCTATAGAAAGCCGTATACATGAAAACTCAAGGTTGAAGAACAAAACTATACGAAATTATAAGTACTCTAACAAATACAATGACGGAAATGATCGTAACAATATGGAAATACATACAGAGTAAGTAAAAGATGTACTTCACATAACACTAAAACACATAAAGGAAGATCTCATTGTTAACTCCTAAAATACTGGGCTAAATTTCAGTGAGTCATTTTTAATCATAATCCTCTCATTACATAGTGCAAACTAGAGATTCATGATATGCTTGTATAATACTACGAAGTTAGGGTGAAAAATGGAAATTTTATTCAATAACTATTTGCACTTCCATGAAGTTAGCAATCAGCCGCACCTATTGTGTGACAGCTAATGATGCTACCCAAACATCGGTAGATAGAGGAGAGTTCCAACCAGTGATCTAGTGACTTGAAGTCGGGTATCTGTACACAAAGTTAGAATAGATGAGTCCTCATCGAAACGTTGAATAGTTATCTTTAAGTTTTCCACTGTAACACTTAACATCGGCTTCAGTAATTTTAAAATGTTAAATACTAAACAAATAAAATTTTGTCACTCTTACATATTTGAAAAATTAATCTATATTCTATAGTTTGATTTGTAAGGGTTAGTTTTGTTTTTACGGGTTGATCACGGATTGATATCAGCTAGAGAACCATTGGAAACCAGGGAGTAGAAGTTCGAATTCATGAACCATTGAATCGGGTCCCAGTGGCTGAATGGTATATGAGCTTGCCTTGTAACCGGAAGGTCCTGGGTTCGAACCCCAGTGGGTGCGTACTACCGATGATTCCCAAACTAGGATGAAACAGCTGTCCAGTACTCCCTGGTTTTCAATGGTTCTCTAGCTGATATCAATCCGTGGTCAACCCGTAATCTATATTCATTATTAAAACATCACTGAGTGAGACATAAATCATAAACAGAGTGAAAATGTAAGTAACGGGCCAAGCTGAACATTGATGAGCTTTGAAAGTTGTCGAAATCCATGTAACTTCGAAAATCTGATGTCATGTTTAAGTATAATCAGGTAAGAAAGCCAGTGTATAATCATCTTTTGAAATGTAAAATAGGTCATAAAAATAGTTTGCCGGTCAAAAACAGAATACCTGACGCGGTGGGCTACAGAAGGTATACACGTACATTAAAAAATATGGAGTTTGTTGATTTCCTAAAAATCTTTACACATCCATAATCGTATGCTGAAATGACACCTCCATTGGATGACTCCTTATATATTGCTGTGGAAAAAATTTTAAGGTCTAAATGAATGTCTCATGTAAGGTAATCAATGATACAGACATTTTTCTTAAATAAAAACGTTTCGCAGTCCTCATGTTGCTACAGCTACTAATGGAATTTTAGTACTTAATAACATCAGGCAAACATTTAACAGTAGATGACGTGGCGCATACAGTCTTGACAAGTCAGTTTTAGTTATAGTGACAGCTGAGAGAAACAAACTTATGGCCTAGATATCAGAGACCGACATACCAGAAATGTCCCATCTCAATATATGAGTACGTGTGACTTGCACCAGGAAGTATGAAATGTTTTACACTCCAAATTCTTCATTATTTTTCATTTTCTAAGTTATTATTCATGTACTTCACTGGTGTCCAAATTAATTTCGAGCTCGTGTGTCAAATACCCAGGTAGGGATAATAATAATGATAGATTTGTCTCATAAAGTACAGTTACACAACTTAGGCGTACCTCTTCAAACAGAGTAGCAGCCTTATCGCACTGTCCAAGTTGAGCTGCAAGTTTAGCCACAAGAAGTTGACATTTCATAGCTGAACTATTGGATTCTTCACCTTTATAATAATCAGCTGCCTGTTCGTAATGACGAATAGCTTGCTCAATATCAACTAAATCTTTTTCGAAAATTTCAGCTATAGTTTGATGATGTTTGGCGGCTATCGTAAATCGACCCATTTCTAAACACAAAACAAAATTTAACAATATGAACGAAACAGATAATGGTTAGTGAATGCATTAGGCATTAGAAACAGAGATGAAAAGGCTGTGAATATTTAGAACTCTGGAAACAGATATTAAAGTAAAGATGTTTGCTGGTTTGAAATGGTTGGTAGCACAGCTCTCAGCGATAGACTATTTATAAGATTCACTACCATTTCAGAGGAAGTTAGCATATTTGGTTCCCTATAAGGATTTATACTGAACCATTCTACTTAATTTGAAGTTAATTGCCTGGTGAACCTGTCTTTTTCTCGGTCATTATATTTACTTTCAGTTGGTTACTATAAATTATTTTTGTTCAAGGAATATTATCGAACAGATACAAACTGAAGTCATATGCTTCTAACATTTTAAACTTAAATGGTCAATTAAAATAATTGGGATGATTTCCTTTGACTTCACCCAATAAACACACAAGGTTGGTGAAGATTTTCAAGTTTGGTGTTATATCCGTTGTTTTTCAGAATACGGCTTTGGTCCGAAGTCAGTTTAACAACATTTCGTAAGAAGGCGTTCTTCATTGATTTCTACGTTATCCCCAAGTTCGCACCTAACTATTACCATTTTGTCTAAATATCATGCTTTAAGAATCCTCATGTTTTATAAAGTCCAAATTGCTGTCTCATTAACATCTCAGCATTCTGAAAGGTTACTAAGATTACATCCTTCTTGTAGGTAGTTTTACTCACTATTGTCTTTCTAGCAGCTATCTGTTTAATAAACCCAGGGTTAATGCCCTTACTATTTTCTTAGCTTTACTCACTCACTACTGCTCATGGTTGTCAAGATAGCCAAGTTTCTTAGGAACGAGTACTATCATAAGGCTCAAATAAGTGTTTAGACAACTTTTTCGCTAAGTACGAATCTGGAAAGGCTGGATGCGCAAAGGCTTACAACGTTGCATTCTGTACACCTAAGCAGTCGCAATCACATCCTTGTTCAAATTAGCGATGGTTGTAGTTAACAAATGTTTTGGAAGGAGCTAAAATCTTCCTCGGACTTCTTCCAGTTATGATTAGTGTGGTTTTGTAACCTTGGTGTTGGAGAATGCCAAGTGAGATAATAACTTTGTATGTTTGAAAATGATGCTGGGTAAGGACAAGGTGATTATTTGAACATAGTTATAAAAAGTCGTTATCGTTGCCAGTTTGTTGGTACTGGACTCTACTGATACCTCAAATGTCTTTTCGATTGACTCAGTCTATTGATTTGACGATCAAAATTAGCAATTTACTCCTCAACAGCAAATTTAACAGTTTCTTGTAGAACATCCTTTAATTCGACTTCGTAACTGACGGTGTATGTAGCCTGACAGCACACAGACTACTACCTAGTGTGACTCAGTTATGTAGTGGGTTTCCTATGTGTGAAACTTCGGTGCTGTGGTAGTATGTAATTTTATATTAATTTGTCTAGTGGATATATCACGGTGAAACAACATTATTTGCTAGATGACGTTTTGATATGATTATGGACAAGAAATTGTGTTTGAAAAGTGACTCAGTACATAATAATTTTTTACTGTGTGATATATCAAACGGACAAATTAACAGCAAGCTCTCTGATTCAGAACTTGCAGTCGTCCCCATGCCAGGAAGTTCACAATAACTAGTCCCTTAAATACCATAATACTAGTAGCCTGAATATCACAAACCCTTATTCAAACCGTTTTCAAACTCATGCTATGAGCTTTTCTTGACTCAGTAAGAGCTTATAGGTGCTGTCCACTAATAATCGCATACTTGTAGCTTTTGGTAAGCATAAATATGGGAGTACTTCCTCGTATCGAAATGCATATAACTAAAACAAAACAAGCATATCCATTAAAGCAAAAATAATTTGCGAAAAAAATACTGTAACAAACGAACCAGTATATATTTCAATCGCTTTTGTCAGGCACTGAATAGCTTTCTTTGGATCATCTTTCTTAAAGACCAACGACGCATTCACATAATGTGTAGCTGCGTCATGTTTGGACTTTTGGCTCAAACTAAGACTTGCAGCTTCTAAAAACGCGTTACCAGCCTCTGAATGTGTTACATAAAAATGGAAACAAATTCTTACCGGTCCAGTTGTGCGACATTTTAAAACAATTCGCTGCCTTCTCATACAATGATATCATTTCTTCCGTTCTATCTGAACTGAAATAGAAAGTTTATAGATACACTTTATTCATGAAAAACCTAATATTCCTTGAATGTTAATAAAACATTCAAGGAATAAGTTTGCGGAGTCTGAAATGTCCATTTTAAGAAGTACTTCAGTACCATTCAAAGATTTTTAAAAGAATGCCACACTGGAATGTCAAAACTAGCCACTTCAAAAATACAAATGCTGAAAAGCAACGAGACTCTTCACTTCTGAGTTAAACAGACTAAAACACCTAAACCAAAAGAAACACAAATGTGCGAAAAATCTCCCGATATGAACATGAAACTTAAGTGAAAATCAAAGTTATGTATAATTTAAGCAGACTGCATCCTACTTTCTTCTTCAAGTTGACAAATACTTCAGTTTTGCCAATTTAAAAGTTTGAGACAATATAAGTGACCCAATTCTACGGAGTACCATATATGAAACCTCTATATACAATGAATCTAGACGAAGGATCGCTAGCTAATAATAACGCAACGAACCATTTGTAGAAAGTATTTACATATACAAGACTAAAGACAGAAATGACGAGAATACACAGATAGTGGAATAGCCTAATATGACTACCTTAACTGAAAGAGTACCAATTCGACAGTTTTCGAACGTCCTAGGCAGCTTGTTAACTTTGATACACTAACTACATGCAATTTAATTTCTTTAAGACATAGATACCCAAATAAGAAATTTGGGGTGAAATTCGGGCAAATCGATGCAGAAATTCAGAGGGAATGTTGGGAAAGTGCAGCGTTCTTCCCCGAAATTGCCCCCAAATTTTTTATTTGGGTGGAATTCCACCCAGCCACTTAAGTGGCTGATCACACAAACACCTGTTACTGGAGTAATAATTTAGCCATAGGTTATTAAATATGTTTTCATGTAAGATTGCATATATTTGTAGTACATACATATACATATATTCGTAATCTCATGCTGCTGTAAGCGTATATGCTTACACTATGGTGAGGTGTTATCAGTTGGTTTGTTATAATTTGACTGCATATGTGGTGCAGAGGAGATTACTCTTCAGAGACTCACCCCGAACCAAAGGAGAAGAATCCTTTCTTATTCTTCTTTTGTGCCTCAGCAATTAGCTCCCTAGCTTTCTTCTCGTTCTCATCCATTATCCGACGTTACGCACTAATTAAAAATATCCTCCACGATATTAACAATTGAATATACAGCATTCTCATTCGGGTTTCAGTTGTGGATAAGAAGTGTGTGGGCAACAATAATAATTTCCATTGATTATTTCTGCCTGTTGTTCGCTAAATGAAACTTTAACGACTAATATCTCGATGTGAGAACCAGTATCCCATATCCAACATCGTTTTTACGAGCTAGTATGGACCAATTTGATTTCTTTGTGCTTGCCTCTTGATTGTGAGGTATAAGTTCCTGATCTTCGGTAAACTTCTGCGTAGCTTGTCCTGCCACTCGACTGTCGTAGCTTTGGTTGACTCCAAGAGGAGTAGTGCTGGGATTAATTATATGTGGTTTGTAGTATGAGGTCTGTTAAGTCTGTTACTACTGTGAATGGATTTGATACTTTTACCAGTTAGTCCAACGGTATCGTCGTCAAAAGATAAGAGATAATAATAATAGATATAATTAGTGAAGTTATTCAGACTAACGGACAGAAAAAGAAATAAAGAAAACGTAACAACAGTCAGCTGATTAAATTTGAAATTGAAATATATATATATATATCGGAAATAATAATAAGTGTAGTTAAAGCTGTCAGGAGAGTAAGACGGCAGAGAATGCACAGAAGTAAAACAGCGAACTTAGTTGTCTACCCCTGAATGTTGTATGGAATTTTAAGGAGATAGGCCATTTGGACGCAGTCCTTGTGTCGCTGCATGATTGTCCAGCCTTCGCTTAAAAGCATCCACAGACGGTGCCATAGCTACATCTGCCGGTAAGGAATTCCAGGCAAACCCGCAGGGAAAAGAAGTTGGGGCGCACATGGGTCCTTGCCCTCGGGTGAGCTATCCTTCTGGGATTTACACGAGGAAGCCTATACCTACTCAATGGCAGAACACCTTTGTTTGGGTGATTCTGGTCATTCGTTATTTTGTAGGCAGTAATCAAATCCCCCCAAAGACGACGGTAGCTAAGTGTGAATAGGCCTAATTTCTTTAGCCTTTCATCATATGGTTTATTTCGGAGACCAACCACTCCTTTTGTTGCCCGTCTTTGGACTCTTTCCAAGAGGTTGGCGTCTCTTCTAAGCATTGGGAGTGCAATAATATTATGCACTTCATGGTGTGGTTTGTCGTATGTTTTGTACAAACCTAGGAAGAGCTCAGGAGTGAGTTCACCTAACTGTCTATGTGTAAAGTGTATGACCACATGTGCCCTCGCTACGTCCACCGTGTAATTTACGCTTTTGTCCATGCTGTCCGTTAGAACTAGACCTAAGTGGCGTTCCGACGTTGTGCAGGAAAAGCTTTCATTGCACAGGGTGTAACTTGCATTCTGCAGTCTACAGGTGCGTAACTTCACTACCTTGCACTTTTTCAGGTTGAAAGTCATGCCACTGGTCACCGCCCAGTCTTCCAGAAGCCTTAGACCTGCCTGCAGTCTATCTGAGTCCTCCGGACACTTTATCGCCCTCCATATCTTCACGTCGTCAGTGTATAGAAGAGTCGGACAGCTTAGACGGCATGGTAGATCATTGATAAAAATCAAGAACATCAGTGGTCCCAGGATAGAACCCTGCGACACTCCTGATGACGAGCTGTGCCAAGATGATCGGACTCGATTGACCTTGGTGCAAAATTGCCTTTCAGTTAGGTAGTCCTTTAACCATCACTGAAGTGGCTTACCTGTACCTGCCTGGCTTATTTTGTGTAGGAGAAGGTCATGGTGAACAGTGTCGAATGCCTTCTCAAAGTCTAGGAAGACCACATGGACTGGAACATTCATATCCCAGCATGATGTCCAATCGTCCCAAGCTGATAGTAGGTTTGTTGCACAGGATCTGCCTTTCCTGAAGCATAAGGGCCTACAGAGAGCTTCGGCGCACTGTTTCAAAACAGATGGTCTGATGTCGTCACAACCTGTGGACTTCCCAGGTGTGAGTCACTGTAGCTTCCCTAGTACTATTGCCAGGTTTATTTGGGGAGGGGGTAGCCATTAGGTCCTCCTCCTGTGAGGTAGTAGTGCCACCATTTTGGTCCATAACGGTAATACCCACATTGCTGTTTAACTGTTTGGCGAAGGCTAAACTGAATGTTTCCGCCATCTCCAGACTAGTGAGATATTGACCGTTGCGGCCTACTAAGGCTCATACCCTGCTTGGTTTGTTTTCTTTCTGACATGAATCGATACAAGTTTTTGGGGTTAGCTAGGAGATTTTAGAGTGGTTAACCTGGAATGACCTCCTGTCACTCCCGAATCTCGCGTTGCACCGGTTCCTGAGTTCCAGGTATGCATCGTGGTCGGTTTGACTGCTGGATACGCGTCACATAAACCAAGCCTTCCACTTTGCTTGCAGAATACGTTGCCTGCCTCTCTTCAGCCATGATGACTTCCTTTTGGGCTGTGTTGTGATTAAAAGGACGGTATCCGAGATTCCTGTATGAACAATCTTTTTTACCACTTCCCAGTGTTCATCCACAGATAGCTCATCCCATGCTAAGGGCCAGTCTGCGTTGGACAAGAGCATCCGCATTTCAGCCTAGTCCGCCTTGCTATAACGCAGATATGGTCGCCTAACGTCCTACTGCAAGTGCTCACGGAGAACTACTTCCTAGAGAAGTCATGATCTGGACCTTTTCGACGAGTAGTTGGTCACTATTTTTTATGACTTTCCACTAGGGCCCCACCTAGTGTCGTCTTCAACATTCTCAGTCAGTCCTGTATTTCGAATAGTTTGCAGTAAATTTCGGTCGAATTTTCCCTTAGCATACCCCGAACCAAGGTTCATTGACGGGGCATTGAAATCTCCAGCTATGGTGATTTGGTCATAGCCCAAGTACCGTATTCCTGTGATGGTGCTGAGCAGTAGCTGGTTGTGCTCTGCCCCACAGGTGGGTGATCGGTAGATGCCACCCAGTAAATGCTTGGTGTGGCCTACGGTGAAATGACACCATATGGAGTCTGGGAATTGAATAAGTGGTGCGTCCGTTGCGCCTTCACATTTAAGTTGCCCGTCAAAGTATATAGCAACTTCACCTCCTTCCTTATTACCCCTGTCTCTCCTGACCAGAACCATATCACCTATACTGATTTCATTGTCGGCGATAATGGGGGTTAGCCAGGTTTCAGTGAGAACGCGTTTTCTTTGAGAGTTAAACAAAAGGTTCGGTGTCTTTTGCCGTGCTAGTGACTCCTTCGAGGACTACAGATATTCCGTTACTTGTGTATTATTGAGAATGCTGAGTTCTAGGCTCATGGGATTGCCTTCTGAGCAGGCCGGTTTCAGAAAGTTGATGCTAACGGTATCTTAGCGGCCTTTTTGTCTAAGACAAAGAATTCATCCATACCTACAATGACCTTATATGGTCCGTCGTATGGGGGTTCCAAAGAGCGACACATGGAGTCACGACGAACGAATACGTGTGGAGAGGTTTTCAAACACGAGTGAACAAAGACGTCTATTGACTGTGGTCGAAGGGGAGCAGGTTTAACTAAACGCATTGCGTTCGTAAGCCTGCTGACGTATGAGGCGTGATCTGCCACTGGTGGGAAGCTAGAAGGAGAAACGAACTCACCTGGCAGTCGTAGTGTCGTGCCATATACTAGCTCAGCGGTAGTACAACCAGCATCGGTTTTTAAAGCGTTTCGTATCCCTGGGAGAACTAACGGAAGGGATTCAGTCCAATGGGTGTTATTTGCAGCTGATAAACCAGCTTTCAACTGTCTGTGTAGACGTTCTACCATACCATTAGTTTAAGGATGGTAGGCTGTTGTTCGAAAACGCATGCAACCTATGATTTTAGTCAGGGCGAAGAATAAACCACTTTCGAATCTTCGCCCTCTATCAGCTGTTGTGGAAGATGGGCATCCAAAGTTTGCGATCCATCTTTCTACAAAGACGCGTGCGACGGTTTCAGCAGATACATCCTTGAGGGGTACTGCTTCAGGCCATCGTGTGAAACGGTCGATGCAGGTTAACATATAGGTATATGCATGAGATTCTGGAAGGGGACCAATTAAATCTATATGGACGTGTTCGAAACGGTCATCAGGGATAAGAAAGGTACCAAGAGGGCTTTTGGTGTGTCTTACTACCTTGCACTTTTGGCAAGCTAAGCCAGGCCAACAAAACCGACTAGTTACGGTATTTCAAATACCTGGGTGGGATAAGCAATGCAACGTATGGAAGACGTTACGGCGATAACTTTTATGCACGATGGAATGAGGAGTACCCGTGGAAACGTCGCATAGAATAGTATATCTTCCCACACCTAAGGGTTTCTCGGCTAATTGCAGAGTTGTTTTCGACAACTCATGTTGGAGCTCGGTATCTTCTTTTTGAAGACGAGCCAGTTTTACAAGGTCTATGCCGTCGATTTGGGTGAGGGAACAAACGCGCGACAAGGCATCTGCCACAGTGTTGTTCACTCCGGATACATGGCGAATATCCGATGTAAACTGTGAAACGTAATCCAGTTGTCGTGATTCCCTGGGTGAATACTTATTTGAAGTTGAGCTCAGAGAGTACGTCAGAGGTTGTTTTTTATTCCTTCACGTTCCCAGTGGAACATAGGGCTTCAAGCTAGAGGCTTGAAGTTTCTTTAGCAGTGTTTATTTTTACAGGATGAGGTTGCTAGCCTCATGCCCAACCTTTCCCCTTTACCAGCTTTATTTCTGGCTTAGCGAGGTAAAGGAGTGCGTCAGCCGGGGATCGAACCCCAGACCATGTGCATAGTCGGTGAGCATCCTAACCACTGTGCCACCGACGCACAGGTTTGTGGTCAGTGAAAATTATGAATTAACGACCCCCCACTGAATGTCGAAAATGACGTATAGCACAGAGCAAAGCCAGAAGTCTTCTGCCGAATGTGCTGTGCTTCGTTTCTGCTAATTGTAGGCGCCTCGAGAAAAAGGCGAGTGGTTGCCACTCTCTGTTAACTAATTGTCGCAGAACTGCGCCGATTGCAGTGTCTGATGC